TCTCACTATAATTCATGTTAATTGCACTCTTTAATTACGTAAAGCATTAATATCGCATGGTAATCAAAAATAAGTCATTAAATGACACTTATTATGCCTCTGAAATGAGTACTTTAAAGGAAAACCACTACAATTTCTTTTGGTAATCTGAATAGAGTACGCCATTTTGTATAAGAAAAGGCATACAGCCACAATCACAACATTGTACTTGGCGCAATTGAATACGCCAAAGAAAAGACATACGGTGCAAATGCATTTTAAATTGTTAAAGCACGTAAATTAAGTAGCTATACATGCTGATATAAACATTAGAGAATGCGATTTATATCAATCTTATGTATATGATATTGTAATTGTTGTGACGGTTCTGTTTCATGACTTAGGATAGGAGATTGAAAAGTAAACCACCCAAGCGAATTACTGAAATGTAGCTTTTTTGAGATATATCTACTCATATATCATATAGCAGTTCATGTTTTCGTTAACATGAGTGTGTGAATGGCAACTTACATAATGTGAGAAAAAAACACGTTAATATGAATGACATGATTCAATAGTTCATTAGACAAAACAACTCAAAACATTCTCTTCAATAGTTTTAATAAGAACTTGTAGCACTTGCAGTAACATTGGGTAAGGCTATATGATTCACATCAGGCAAGTCTTAGAGACGATCAATTATTGTTAATTATACACAAATATAAACATATGTGCGTGATATGTGTGTTATTGTACTACCTGACACAAAACAAGACCATGTTACTGACACCCTGACACTGACGCCTATCGTATACATACCTGACCGCCCTCCAAGATCCAACATGGCGCGCGTCGTCTGGTATTTGTAACGGTGCATACCGATCATTTGCTGTTCTAACATTTTCTGAGGATTGTTTTAAGAATAAACAAAGTCTCAATTTCAGATGGAAATAAGCAAATGTGGAAGCAATGTTTAGGTGTTACGTACTCAAAGATATTTTGACTAAGAAATAATCTACATGGTAACGTATTTCTGTCTTGATTGCATGTGTGTCATCTGACTGTATAATTAATGCATTGATATGCACTTAAACATCTACTTCAAACATTTTCGTCAAATGATTTGACATATTCCTGTTTTTGAACAAAAATTAAATCTTTTTGTCACTGTATTTTGTTCCAGTCTACTCAGCTGTAAATGAGTACGTGGTTGGGTAGTGCTAGAACTATAGAGTGCTAGCTGTGAGCGCCGAAATGGCAGCACCGGCCGTATGCTCCCGTAGGAGTTGAGAAATATATTGGCTGGTTGCAAATGCCCTTTTACCACGGAAAATAATTTGAGAACCGCTTTGAGACATCCCTATGAACGAGGTTGTGATAAAGCGGTATATAAAAATCTCGAATTATTATCATTATATCAATTAAACAAAGTCAATATGTAACCAAATATTTCTGCTTTAAAATGATAATTTAAACATGTGATTATATTATTTACAAGCGTATTTATAGACTTTATGAATTGTTTTCATTGATTCATTTTGCTTCTACACGAACATCAATCAAGCATTTCACATGTAAAGTAAATGAAATAATCATGTACGGAGAGAAAAGACAAATGTTATGACACTCAATAAAGCAGCTTCATTTAGATATAGACATACGACAAATATCTAAAATCAAAAACATATTTAGAAAGATAAACAAAAATAACATACAAAGCAATCTGTATAATTCATTTGTGCATATTTATTTTGAATCCACGTGGCACTGTTATATCATTGTGTAAGGTAACATGAAACAAAAATAGTCAACGTGGAAAAATAGACCTCTACATTGATTAACCATTCTTGTGACAACTGTTGCCACCATAATATTTACACTCGATGTACTTCTGTTCCCAAGTGTGTTTTATACTGAATAATGTTCGTATACGTTTTATGAAACAACACAGACACGTTAACGTTTAATAGAATCAGTAGACGTCCAGTAACCTGACTCTCTGCTAGCTCTCTATGTGGTCGACTGATGACCTCAGCGTTCAAAACTAGACCTCTTGGCAAACCCTCCGTAGTAGTCATTTGATGACCTCATACAGAAACTCCTTTGCTCATCCTCCTTCGTACATTCTCCTTCTTACTCACGCTTCAAAGCATACGACCTATCCGCCTATTGTAAGATACTGTATTAGTGGTTAATTAACCACTGAGTCAGAAACAAACACGTTGTTGTGGAGAAAAGCCATACAGTTGGTTACTGTATTACTATCATTTCAACGTGGACGATTTCTGTCAACATATCCAAGAGCCAAAGTTTTCCGCTCTGTCGACAATTGGCCATTTACGAAAATAAAATATTGAATATCTTTCGGCGCGACTGAGCCCATCCGATGCTGATAACGGAATCGGTCATGCGTGAGAACGAACATCGATTACGAGCATGTCATCATCGTGTCAATAGGCACTCTGTCGATAGTGATACTTACATGCATGTTTTGACAAGGCAAAATCCACGAGCATTATATACTAATGGTTACAAGTTGTCCTCGCATGGAATATGTACCGAACAAAATACACTATAGATAGTTCAGACGGGAACCAAATGGAATGTTATGAACCAGAGCATACTCCTGAATTGGCTTCGAGTCATAGTATTGGCGTATCCTTTGATTCAGATTGGTGGAAATGTACGTAAAAGACGGCACTCTCTTGAACTTCAAATACATTCGTGAATTACTTCATGTGATATGTAGCAATGCCTGCGGAAGAGAAATGAGTACAATGTATCATGTTTGTGAAAATAGGTTCGATAAAAAAAATGCAGAATATACCGTAACCATGTAGTTTCTGTTAAACACCTATAATTTTCGTTTTCATATGAATGCAGAAAAACAGCCGTGGTTATAAACATGAAATCCAATTAAGATTTAGAAACAAACAATTCTTCTACCAACTATTTGTGAGACGAAATACGTTAAGATTGGAAAGATAGCTTATCAAAGCAATAAAGCAGGCGTAGATATATCAGCCACTTCCGCTCTAACGATTTACCGTGGCACTTTATATGTATAAACACAGGTTTGCCTTTGTTTTGATTTTCCTGTTTCCTGTTATTTCGTATAAATACAAACCATCGTTGTTTCATTGAATGTTGCATAAAATATGTCAGCTTGAGTATATACATGATCGCTTTTTATGTACATGTATAGTATTCTAGACTTTCTTTCATATTGAAAAATTTGAAAAAATGTATATACTTTATCTTAAGGATCCCCGTATCACTGTCAAAAACTGTAACTATGTGTTCTGGCATGAGTTTAGCTTGTTGACTTATTTCTTTAAAGACAGAATATCTTGCAGGACTTTTATTGAAAATAATCAAGATGGAATAAACAAAATAATATCAACAACAGTTTCGGAATGGACAAAAATCAGCGAGGCTTAACCAGGATTCGAACCTATGACATCAAGTTGTTATACTATCTCTCTATCTAATTGAGCTACATTGTCAACGAAAGTGTCCTGATCCAACTATGCTACAGTTATATCGAAACGGAGGTTATATGTAGGTGATTGTATTTACGAAAAACCAGTGCAGAGGGACAGGGATCTTTAATGCATTTTTTACTGTATCAAAAAACAGAAACAGCTCTTTTGGGAGTTGGAGCGAATTGTTTCTGTGTGGTCTTTTATGTTTTCATTTTTTTATATTTGATAAATAATTTTCTTGACATTTTAATGGAGCAGGATTATAATAAGTGTATAGAAAAGGGCAACCGTCAATGTCAATACATCAAACATTAGCAAATCACTGAATACCGTAATTGATGTCAGGAACAAAACGTGCAATAGACACAAGCTGAATAAACTAAATAAAATCAAGAAATTATCTTTGAGTAAATCTTTCCCATATGATTCGAAGACGATTCAGCTGGGCCGCCAAGATAGGTGCCGAGGTTACAGATCCGATTAGTCGGTCGGTCTCGTTTCTCGTAAATGTCAAATTATCAGCCAACATCTTCTACAGGAGAGTTCCTCGCAAGGGAGAGCATAACTAGGATGTAGCAATTACGGATGTGTCAGTATTTTTTTCTGGTCTCTAATTACTAACAAATTATACAGCTTTCCGGTGATTTCAGCACGTGTTCATAAAACACAGCTCTATAGAACCCTTCAAAGAACGAGGACATTCACAGATTTGAACGAGAGGACCGTGAACCGATGATGTAGATACATCCGTATTTAATGTGTAGAAAAAAAACGGAAATAGGGTAACACAAATTGCCAGGAAGCTTCAAAGGGTTCCATTCAATGGAACCAGCAAAGGGCTTAGAGATGTTCAAAGTGGCGTGGAGTCTTGTAAAAGATGTATATATTGAAAGAGACTTTAGGTCTCTCTCGGTGCAATATAGGGTCGAAAGAACATGAATTCAGGAACAGTGGTCTGTACCAAAAAAAAAAAATCACATACAAACGTGATCACTTCTGCCTTGTAGATTTTGCAAGAAAATCGTTTGATATATGTTTAATGATATAAAATCTGTCAGTGTTCTAGATGTGTATTCTAAGCACCTTCTGAAATGTCGACATCAGAAGTATAATCCATACGTGTTTTGCAAATAACATATATCACAGTTTACTTCCATTTTATCCGTTTTAAATGCATTATAATAAGAAATGGGGGTAAATAAATACTTAGTAATACAGGATGTCTGCGGTAATCAAACGTTAAATGAATTTATGTGTGCTTTATTTTTACTAAACCAGTGATATAGTCTATAGATGTGAAGAACAGCTAGTCATTTGTTGCTGGTTTTTAGGGCAAGTTTTGTATAAGGTACTCACAATGGGGTGCACTTAACTGCATGTTGTGGTGTTACTTCCAAACGGTGACCTCAGTTGAAATAACATATGTGACTGTAGTTGAAAGAATTAGTAATTGGACATCCACTATAAGTCCTCGACATATTTAGCCGCATTCAAATCTGATCTGTTGTACAGTTTGTATAATCATCGTCGTTTCAGACATGGACCCGTGCCCTTTGCGAGATGGACTCGGATGGGGATGGAATGACCAATGGTGAAGAGTTGGGTGACCCAGCCTGTACTTGGACACCAGGAAATACTCCCGCCAAGACCACAGGACTGTCTCACCCAGGTAAAGGGAAATATTGTCGCATTGCAAGTGTGGACAAACAAAAAACGTTTTTAAACCTCAAATTAATCTAGTGCACGATTTCCATTATTGATTTTATATGTCCAGTTTCTACACAGATCTTTCTTTTGATATGTACCTATTTTCATACCTATCTTTTACCCATTTTGTAATTGGGGGGGGGGGGGGTCTGTGGATATACACAAACGTTAGCACCCGCAATCATTCATCTACATCACTTAAATTCGGTTCAGTGATCCATCGTTATGTAGTTTAGAACTCCAAAAGTCAACATAACGCTCTCATTTATATTGTAATTTTTTTATCCTTTCTTACACCGATCATCAATCACAGGAACGGTGTGTGAGAACGAACTCCTCCCTTACTTGTCCATTAACCAAACTGACTAAAAAAAGAAGCAAACCATGGACAAGAATTGATAGTGATAATCGATACATTGTTTTTTTGAAATTATATCGATTTTCAGGAAACGTCTGCATATTTCATTAAGCACATCATCTCCAAAACTGATTTATATCAATGACAAATAATTTGAATGGAAATAGAAAACGAGCAAAATATAGTTCACATTGATTGAATGTTAAAATCGTCAGACGGTGGTAAACTATAAACTGTCATGGAAAGTGAAGACAGATTTTCTTCTGCGAACACTCTGGGATATAATTAACACAATTCTTTCTTTTAATGATGACGTGAATCTGCTTTGGTGGTAATTCAGACACCTTTAAAAACATGGACTGGAAAAGCTATCTGTCAAATATCTGCGTTCTGAACACATTAGTTTACACTCGCGAACGTCAGTGTTTTAAGATTAAGAGGTCCTTGTGGAATGTAACGTGCAAATTGAATTTATCAAGTTAAACATCGGGACGTATCAAACACAGATTAATTATTTTCCTTTGGAGGCTCCAGCAATGAAGCTAAAAGAACGCATACAGCTACAACTTTAAAATGGTGAACTAACATATATTGTAAGGGGTCAGAGAATTAAGTAAACTGGGCTTTTTTGTAATCTGAAATTGATTAATGCATTTAGCTCTTCAACTTGTTAAAAGTAATATGGGTGTAATACGTCACTATTAACTTGTTAAAAGTAATATGGGTGTAATACGTCACTATCAGGTTGTTTAAAGTGGTATGGGTGTAATACGTCACTATCAGCTTGTTAAAAGTAATATGGGTGTAATACGTCACTATCAGCTTGTTAAAAGTAATATGGGTGTAATACGTCACTATCAGCTTGTTAAAAGTAATATGGGTGTAATACGTCACTATCAGCTTGTTAAAAGTAGTATGGGTGTAATACGTCACTATCAGCTTGTTAAAAGTAATATGGGTGTAATACGTCACTATCAGCTTGTTAAAAGTAATATGGGTGTAATACGTCACTATCAGCTTGTTAAAAGTAATATGGGTGTAATACGTCACTATCAGCTTGTTAAAAGTAATATGGGTGTAATACGTCACTATCAGCTTGTTAAAAGTAATATGGGTGTAATACGTCACTATCAGCTTGTTAAAAGTAATATGGGTGTAATACGTCACTATCAGCTTGTTGAAAGTAATATGGGTGTAATACGTCACTATCAGCTTGTTAAAAGTAATATGGGTGTAATACGTCCCTATCAACTTGTTAAAAGTAATACAATGTAGGGGTGCAATACGTCACTATCAGCTTGTTAAAAGTAATATGGGTGTAATACGTCACTATCAGCTTGTTAAAAGTAATATGGGTGTAATACGTCACTATCAGCTTGTTAAAAGTAATATGGGTGTAATACGTCACTATCAGCTTGTTAAAAGTAATATGGGTGTAATACGTCACTATCAGCTTGTTAAAAGTAATATGGGTGTAATACGTCACTATCAGCTTGTTAAAAGTAATATGGGTGTAATACGTCACTATCAGCTTGTTAAAAGTAATATGGGTGTAATACGTCACTATCAGCTTGTTAAAAGTAATATGGGTGTAATACGTCACTATCAGCTTGTTAAAAGTAATATGGGTGTAATACGTCACTATCAGCTTGTTAAAAGTAATATGGGTGTAATACGTCACTATCAGCTTGTTAAAAGTAGTATGGGTGTAATACGTCACTATCAGCTTGTTAAAAGTAATATGGGTGTAATACGTCACTATCAGCTTGTTAAAAGTAATATGGGTGTAATACGTCACTATCAGCTTGTTAAAAGTAATATGGGTGTAATACGTCACTATCAGCTTGTTAAAAGTAATATGGGTGTAATACGTCACTATCAGCTTGTTAAAAGTAATATGGGTGTAATACGTCACTATCAGCTTGTTAAAAGTAATATGGGTGTAATACGTCACTATCAGCTTGTTGAAAGTAATATGGGTGTAATACGTCACTATCAGCTTGTTAAAAGTAATATGGGTGTAATACGTCCCTATCAACTTGTTAAAAGTAATACAATGTAGGGGTGCAATACGTCACTATCAGCTTGTTAAAAGTAATATGGGTGTAATACGTCACTATCAGCTTGTTAAAAGTAATATGGGTGTAATACGTCACTATCAGCTTGTTAAAAGTAATATGGGTGTAATACGTCACTATCAGCTTGTTAAAAGTAATATGGGTGTAATACGTCACTATCAGCTTGTTAAAAGTAATATGGGTGTAATACGTCACTATCAGCTTGTTAAAAGTAATATGGGTGTAATACGTCACTATCAGCTTGTTAAAAGTAATATGGGTGTAATACGTCACTATCAGCTTGTTAAAAGTAATATGGGTGTAATACGTCACTATCAGCTTGTTAAAAGTAATATGGGTGTAATACGTCACTATCAGCTTGTTAAAAGTAATATGGGTGTAATACGTCACTATCAGCTTGTTAAAAGTAATATGGGTGTAATACGTCACTATCAGCTTGTTAAAAGTAATATGGGTGTAATACGTCACTATCAGCTTGTTAAAAGTAATATGGGTGTAATACGTCACTATCAGCTTGTTAAAAGTAATATGGGTGTAATACGTCACTATCAGCTTGTTAAAAGTAATATGGGTGTAATACGTCACTATCAGCTTGTTAAAAGTAATATGGGTGTAATACGTCACTATCAGCTTGTTGAAAGTAATATGGGTGTAATACGTCACTATCAGCTTGTTAAAAGTAATATGGGTGTAATACGTCCCTATCAACTTGTTAAAAGTAATACAATGTAGGGGTGCAATACGTCACTATCAGCTTGTTAAAAGTAATATGGGTGTAATACGTCACTATCAGCTTGTTAAAAGTAATATGGGTGTAATACGTCACTATCAGCTTGTTAAAAGTAATATGGGTGTAATACGTCACTATCAGCTTGTTAAAAGTAATATGGGTGTAATACGTCACTATCAGCTTGTTAAAAGTAATATGGGTGTAATACGTCACTATCAGCTTGTTAAAAGTAATATGGGTGTAATACGTCACTATCAGCTTGTTAAAAGTAATATGGGTGTAATACGTCACTATCAGCTTGTTAAAAGTAATATGGGTGTAATACGTCACTATCAGCTTGTTAAAAGTAATATGGGTGTAATACGTCACTATCAGCTTGTTGAAAGTAATATGGGTGTAATACGTCACTATCAGCTTGTTAAAAGTAATATGGGTGTAATACGTCCCTATCAACTTGTTAAAAGTAATACAATGTAGGGGTGCAATACGTCACTATCAGCTTGTTAAAAGTAATATGGGTGTAATACGTCACTATCAACTTGTTAAAAGTAATATGGGTGTAATATGTCACTATTAACTTCTTAAAATTGATATGAGTGTAATACGTCCCTATCAACTTCTTAAAAGTAATACAATGTAGGGATATAATACGTCACTATCAGCTTGTTAAAAGTAATATGGTTGTAATACGTCACTATCAACTTGTTAAAAGTAATACAATGTAGGGGTGTAATACGTCACTATCAGCTTGTTAAAGTAAATATGGGTGTAATACGTGACTATCAACTTGTTAAAATTAATACAATGTAGGGGTGTAATACGTCACTATTAACTTGTTAAAGGTAATATGGGTGTAATACGTCACTATTAACTTGTTAAAAGTAATATGGGTGTAATACGTCACTATCAGCTTGTTTAAAGTGATATGGATGTAATACGTCACTATCAGCTTGTTAAAAGTAATATGGGTGTAATACGTCACTATCTACTTGTTAAAAGTAATACAATGTAGGGGTGTAATACGTCAGTATCAACTTGTTTATAAGCGACGTTTGACGCTTTATTGTGACCGGCTATAAGTGAGCTATGACCTTAACAATGACTACGTAACTATGGGTGACCAGGGGCGTAGCTGGGTTGAATATGGTATGTGGGCAGAATGTTAGCGCGAAGCGCGAGAGGGGGAGGGAACGGGAGGTGGTCTTTCCACGACAATGTGTTGCCGCAGGCAGCACCCGAGCGCGAAGCGCGAGAGAGGGAGGGTATGGAAGGGGATTTCCCCCTCCCTTTGGTGGGGGTCTGGGGGGCCTCCCCCAGGAAAATTTGGAATAATAGAAGGCCTTAGGAGCAATCTCCCGTGTTCCGCTGGCAATTTCAATAGTTTAATTAATGAAAATAAAGCTCATTTTTTTTGTGAGAAAATATCGGGAAATATATTTCATTCCATATTATATCACACATTTTGTCGAATATGCATACTTTATGATGGGCAACATCAGTGATTTATGTGAATAAATGTTTTAAGCGTTATCCAAAGTCAGTATACAAGTTACTGAACGATTTCAAAGGTCAGACAGAGTTCAGACAAATTGAAATCGCCGAGTTTAAAAACATAGGCTTACAAAAGAAAACTGGACGGCAATGGAACGGCTCGTTAATGACGGCTCGGGAACGGGAAAAAAACTTTATCCGAAGACAGTCAAAAAGCAAAATTATACATGTAATCGACAAAAACAAGGACCAGTAAAAAAAAGTGTATTTATGAAATTTATGTGTAGGCAGTTGCCTATTCTGCCTATAGGCAGCTACGCGCCTGGTGACGGTTCTTTGTGACATACACATCGATTGTTTCTGCGGCGTATTTGACGTGTGACCGTCACCTTGACTACAGTTTAAGATTAACGGCTCAGTGTGACTTTTATCTTGCTAAATGTGACGTGTGAAGCCCCAGACAGCTCCTGACATCCTGACAAGCATATTGGTGAATTACGTAGCTCCGATAATGGAACTTCTACAGCGGAAATGTGTTTTGATGGTTCGAAGAGATGGCCAAATGTCACGACAGCGTTTATGCATGACAAGAATATTGTTAGATCTAAGTCACTTAATCTAATCGCGTTCACACAAACGTTTTATTGAAAATGACAACCTTGTGTTGTAGGTGTCTCCGTTGCCTTGGTAATACTTACCGGTACATACCATCTCTTTCTTTGTTCTTTTTGTTTAGTCACAAGATACAACACGCATTTGACAGCAAATTGACTTTTATGGTCAAAATGACAAAAAGCCAACTTGCAACCAGTATAAAAATGCCATGCACGTCATTGCAAAAAAATCCATGTAATATTCGTTTCATTATAATTATGATCTCATATCATCTTACTGTGTGTATCTGATCCCATATCTTGGTATTTTATTTGGTTACATATCCTGTCCGTACATTTAAATCAATATCATATATATACAGTACCTGTGTGTTTTAACCCATATCCTACCTCTGCATTTTATCCCATATCCTACGGATGTAGTTAATCCAATATCCTACTGAAATTTACTACGTTATGTTCACTTTAATTTTGTTTCGTCGGTTCAAAGAGATTTTTTTTCAAAAGAATGTAGTATACACAAAGCCGTTACCGGAGGCAGAAGGTCTGTTTTGGCGTCTTTCTGGAATGCACTTACAGCCAAGATAATAATCAAATAGTTTTACTTGTCTATCTATAGCCTCGTTTACAGTGTGTTCATTAAACAACAGCGACAACTCAGTACGCGAGCTTTAAGAAAAATATAGATTTAAAGAAAATAATATAATTGTCAAAATTACGACTGAAAAACTGCTGGTGTTTTCCCCAATGTTGTTTTATCACTGATGTATATGTGTTAATCATCATTGAAAGACATTTAATTAGCGAACTGCATTAAAAGATCTGACGGTAAGGTTTGTATTTTTTATGTGTCTTGCTAATCATTCGCGCTATGAATGTGCCGAAGTCTCGTCAACACGTGCCTGATACAAAGTGCTTATCCCTCTTCCATGGAAGCTTAAGCAAAGGCAAGTTTATCACGTGTAATAAACCATATTAATCATGCGAATAGTCGTACGTACGTCGAATGCCTTATCTTAGTATTCTTCATCAGTCTTATTGTGGCCCGCTGAGCGCGTGCTGGAGATGTTACCTTGAAAAGAGCTACCATTTCAGGCATTTTAAGCTAAGTATCTTATCCAACGAGGTGTTTTATTTTACAGCAATTAGAACGGTGATACACCCATATCCTGGCAGATGTAATGTAACAAAAACAGGGCTAGTTAATAGAAATCTCGTTCATTTGATGTACATAGTATTACGGAAATATTTGTTTGTTTATTTAACCTCGATTGAAGATTAGAAAAGGTCCTCGGAATCTCAAGTGGACATCAGTTCATGTTTGGTGTATTCGTTATCTCTTACAAGACACGAAACAAAATGTCTAATTATGCAGGCACTCTTACGATAAGAAACCCTATTGCTTCTCACACAGCTTCGAGGCGTGGTTTCATTAATGTTCCTTTGCTTACACTAAAAAAATTCTTTTAAACTAAAGCAATTAATTTAAATTGTGATGTTTAACGAACAAAGCTACAAAAGACGATCTTTTAATCTGAAGCTAGTATCGCACATGTTAGTTTTAATCACGAGACGAAATAAACACTACTATATAAGCTTAACATGTCAGTATGTTTAGAATGATTTGCACAAAGACACTGATCATTACATAATTATGAGGTCCAATTCTAACGTTGGCTGTCCTGAATGAAAGCATTGTACATTACAAACTCGTTGTGATTGCCCTCGCTGGACAGTGCACTTGTTTAGGTCGTCTTTACATTTTCTGTAACCATTGCTGTGTATTACATTACTTAATTAGAAATATTCCCAAACTTCTTTGTAATTCATGTTTCTTCTGGACAGCGCTATTCACTGTTTTATTGTGTTCGTACCTATTCGATTGGTTGTGTGGTTGTCGTTGAGACAATAGACTTCGAGTTCCGATTATATTTTTATGTTTATGCTCTCTATGTAAAATTGTCTTCTTATCCTACTAGCTACACCGATATGGTGTCATTCAGAATGATGAAGTACAGTTTCACCGGGATGATAAATGAAGCTGTTAGTCAGTTTTATCCAATTTGACATATGAGAGGGTTCGCACACTGTGTAAACGTAGTGTTTACAAGATACCCACGTAACATGTGTACACTGTCATTATATACCAGTCAAAACATCAACAATCAGCATGCGCTTCTGTTGGGGAACATTGCATATACAGTAATGTTAGCCGACAATGGAGATCAAAGATTTGTTTTTGCAGACGTAAACGTCACAGCAATGCAGGTTAAGACACAGAGGGACATTTTTCTAGGCGAAATGTGTTGCATTATAGAGTGACATGTCAAGTTCAGAACCATCGGGAGAACACTAGTAAGCCTGCTCGTAACAGGTTATATAATCACTAGAGGAGAATACACACAGTCGGGAGCACACTAGTAGGCCTGCTCGTAACAGGTTATATAAGCACTAGAGGAGAACACACACAGTCGGGAGTACACTAGTAGGCCTGCTCGTAACAGGATATATAATCACTAGAGGAGAATACACACAGTCGGGAGCACACTAGTAGGCCTGCTCGTAACAGGTTATATAATTACTAGTGGAGAATACACACAGTCGGGAGTACACTAGTAGGCCTGCTAGTAACAGGTTATATAATCACAAGAGGAGAATACACCCAGTCGGGAGTACACTTGTAGGCCTGCTCGTAACAGGTTATATAATTACTAGGGGAGAATACACACAGTCGGGAGTACACTAGTAGGCCTGCTCGTAACGGGTTATATAATCACTAGAGGAGAATACACACAGTCGGGAGGACACTAGTAGGCCTGCTCGTAACAGGGTATATAATCACTAGAGGAGAATACACACAGTCGGGAGGACACTAGTAGGCCTGCTCGTAACAGGGTATATAATCACTAGAGGAGAATACACACAGTCGGGAGGACACTAGTAGGCCTGCTCGTAACAGGCTATATAATCACTAGAGGAGAATACACACAGTCGGGAGGACACTAGTAGGCCTGCTCGTAACAGGGTATATAATCACAAGAGGAGAATACACACAGTCGGGAGTACACTAGTAGGCCTGCTCGTAACAGGTTATATAATCACAAGAGGAGAATACACACAGTCGGGAGTACACTTGTAGGCCTGCTCGTAACAGGTTATATAATTACTAGTGGAGAATACACACAGTCGGGAGTACACTAGTAGGCCTGCTCGTAACAGGTTATATAATCACCAGAGGAGAATACACACAGCCGAGTACCAATAGATGATACAGGTCTAAGGCTGATAAGACAACTCGGTGATTCTTTGATGTATCACATTTTATATAAAACTACATTTTATTCAACAGCTGTTGAAACACCGGTTACGCCTGCTATATACCTGTTTTGGTATGCTTTAAATAATACATTGTGCAATATTGCACGAACCATCGATTTTAGCCCGAGCAGCTGGCCAAATAGTGACAGATATAGCATTTTGTTATTGATGGTTGTAAATCCCCTAAGAACAGCACATCTCATCTGCCATTATAGGGGCCACGAAACACCTCCACCAGACAGGCTGGATTAAACACAGCGCATATGTTGATGTAATTCAGAAAAGTGTGTCTAAAACAAGACACTGGTCACGTAGGCCAACATCCGGAAAGATGTTTCTGTTACCAAATAGTTATACCCAATCAAACAAAACTGTAAAAGTGACCCTATATATTTATCCATACTTCATTATTACGAAAATTGTATATAAAATGTGATGAGGGAGAATGTGTAAACATGGATAGAATGTAGATTAGAGACGAAAATATTTAGAAAAACACTATAGACCAGATGCTATCTTGTTTGAGAGGTTTATAAAATTATCCTCGTATTTTGTATACATTGCTGTTATTCATTAAATTTGTGCAAATAGTTATGCTCACGGTTGTGCTGTAACCAACGTTTTTGCGGGTCTCTTCCTCACTAAACACCATAGATACAAATCCCTGATAACAATACGATTAGAGTGCATGGCATTTGCTTTTCCAAATCATAGTTGATGGGGTTTTTTGGTGTGTTTTTTAAAGAACATAGCTACTTACCAACGGCTTTTTTCTGCATGCTCTTTAATGTATTTTATTTCATATATAAAGACATAAAAATAACTTGTTTCGAACCTATAGAGGTCGGACACAATTTGCCTCCGGCGCCTGGAGTCGAACCCGTACGTACCAGCACACTGGAGTTTAAACTCTGTCCAACGCCTTAGCCCTCACGGCAACTGACGGGGGCTAGATAGACAACGATAATGATATCCTTTATTTGTGTAATTTACAGGTGTGTGTGAGCCACTCAACAGTGAACTGTGTCGGGAGAAAAACACGTGGTTGGACTGTTCAGCTACCGGAAACGGAAACTGTCCGGCGTTTGAAGAGCCAGGTAATTTATAATCATGCGTACATTGTTTCACTTTGGGAAGTGTCTTCTGAACTCATTTAGACAAAAACAAAAATAGGCCTTGCCTTATTACCTAGAAAAGGCTCCAGTTTTAATTGAAACTCTGGAACGTAATTATTATGAATGTGGCAGACAACCATGTTTAATGCCGTTTACCGCTCTTGCTAAGCGTAGCGCTGTTCATGCATGGGTTGGATATATATCTGATGGTAAAGTGAATATAATGAAGTAAGTTGAAATTTGTCACATTCTGCACATTAGGATAGAAATATCAAAAGTATGACAACTGTCAGTCAAGTAAATAATTAAGATACATTCGTCTTATTTACTTAGGGATGCAGAACGTGACACTGAAGTTTCCAAGGACAGACGTCCCATCCCACGTGACCAACTACTACTGTCAGATATTTGACCTACCTGACGGTGACTTTCACCTGGTAGGGACCCGCCCCATCATCGACAACCAGGAACTTACTCACCATATCCTCCTATTTGGGTGTGACGAGCGAGGTAAGGGTATCTGGGTTAATCACTGTGTTTCAGTCACATACTCAAATTACACTGTTTTACGAATGTGTCATCAAAGCACGCCATAAAGATAGGATAACACTATGATACAAAGATTTTAGAGAAAGATTTTAATCTCGGAACATGATCAATGTTTTTAAGTCTAAGAAATCCATCTTCGCTAGCCAAGTGTTCGCTTCGTAACATTCCACTAACAAGTGGAGTGTATACGAAGCGAACACTTAGCTACCAAAGATGAAGAAATCGGTTGTGTTCTTTTCTGTAAAACCGTCATTAAAACAATATTGATATAACAGCACATTAAAAACATTAGTCCTTCGAGTGATTGGTTCAACCTCATATAACATGTTATCTGAAGCAGAGTTTCAAGCGTATTCTAAGACATTTCCTAGTAATATTATAATCCCGAATCATCCTTCCACTCGAATGACTGACCAAACTATACTTTTCTCGCGCGTTTCTTTCTATTTCACAGACAAGGGTTTATGCACGATAGCCGCTATGTAAACAAGGATACTTGCTCCTTGCTCTTCTCGATAAACAAAATCGATCGATATTTAAGTCCGACTTAAAGATACAGAACTTTAGCGACAGTATGTTTTCAGTATCTGTCGTTCCATGTACAGTATTTATGGATGATAACAATCACTATAAGAACCTATGTGAGAAAAGTTCTTGCAGTTCCTAGAGGTAAGCAAGGCGAACATGACTAAGGCAGAAATAAACTGCAAATGTATATACTAGAATAAGAATTGTGTTCAATACCTATACTATGCTTTTCTTTGGCAAATTTAAATATCTCTCGGAAACGGTTGTATAAAATACAGGTTTGGTATTTCATCAAGGGATTCTATTCGAGATTCGTATCATCATTTGCAAAAAAATAAAATATATGACATTTCTTCATATATAAGCTTTGTTGTTAGGCGGTAAAAATACATGTATATGATATTATCTCACAACCGCTATAGGTTTCTTCACTCGCGACTCATTGGATAAACCTGCAAGGAAGTCGGTAAACTTTCTGGTTACCCACTAGTGGGTACATGTAACACTCTGGGCTTTATTTCATTGGTCAATCTTCTAATTATGAGGTCGAGAAACAATGCTTTACGACGTCATCTGCAATTGTGACGTCGTAGTTCATGTCAACTGTTTCCCCGACCGGCAAAAAATAAAGTATCCATTCCCAAGAAAAACATATGGTTTTCTAGATATAATATATAGTATCTGAACGTTGCGAAAGAAAAATGTCCCCAAACTCGTGATGGTTGGTTATCATTTTTTTTTTCTTACTCTTGTATGAGTTAATTTTCAAATTGTTAACGACACTCGGTAAACCTCGTGTCTTTATACAATTAACTTACTCGAGTAAGTTAAACATGATAACCAGCCATCAGTCGTTGAGGAACCTCTATATTCCGTCAGGCTATTCTCGTGGTTACGTTGATGGTGGTGGTAGGGACAGCTACGAGAGGACCATCACTGTAGCGTCTTGTTCATTTGATGCTCGGCTTTATTTACGAATAAATATAATTAAAGCATTTTATACAGAAAAAAGAAAACAGAATCACTACTGATAAACCACAGGGCATGAAGCAGAGCTAAGAACCTCTTAATCTATTTTACTTACGTAACCTTTTCCGCCACAGAGATCAGCGTATATACACACGTGTCTGTAACTCATAGTGTAAACAATATGCAATGAACACTCCTGTTCTGTGAGATTCGTGTCTGCAAAATGAAACGCGGCGAAGGGATTGATTAATTTAATTTCACCGAGCAACAACAAACTGTCAGCACGCTTTTGAAAATATCTGCACTTTTTCAATTTAAGTCCTATTTACAAATTACATGCAAACATGTCTGCATGTTTGAAAGATACATCGACACGTCATCCTTCGCGAAGACTGACATGTTGTGATTATCAGTAAGCTGTGCAATATGTAGTAACAGTATTATATTTCCGGTTATACTTAAATGGATGAAGAAACACTCAACAAGTCGAGGCCTTATCGGTATCATCTCTGGTCCAACACTCTTTCATAGCTTAACATGGATTCCTAGTAAGCGTTAACCCATCTGGTAAAGTTGCTTATAGTATATAATATTTAGTGTTAATAGGTGAATACAAGATTGACGAAAAATATACCTGCTATATCCGACTTCCTGATTATAAGTGACGACATTCATAGGGATGTCTGACGAATCGAGGTATCGCGTTTTTGCACACTGCTTATATTACAACAAACGGACATAGCTGGAACCAATTGTCTGTAGCATACAGACCGTTACATACCGTTGTAACATCCATTAGACCGTCATTTAAAATGTATTATGAAACATATACATATCAAAAATACAAAAAATATCAGTTATATAACTGCTATTCTGTAAAGAGACCATATATTTTTAAAGTTGAAAACTCTAGGAAGTGTTGAATGAAATGTATAAAGGGTATTATGTAATGCTTTCGTAGTTAAGGTTCTGGCGTCACCCAGTATGCTATGATGCTTGTAGGTTTATGGAACTTGTGAAGGTACAGACTGTACAAACTATAAACCACATCGTTTTATAATCAGCAGTAGGTTTAACAAAGGGTATCCTTGAAACTGACGTTCTGGTTAATGTAAACTCATATGAGACCTTGGTATTTTGCTAGACATGCAACACACTCCTAAAACTTGTCAGTTTCACCGACAGAGAATCGACTGTCACAAACGTACATTAGATCTATGCGTGGCTTTCTTAATCAATCAAACGTTTGTCTAGCTCGTGAAGTGCATTGCAATCCAATGAAAACGTCATGCCCAGTGTTAGATCAATGCCTTTGCAGATTCATAGAACTGCATGCGTTAGTATACCACTGAAAGCAAAACGAATTTTAACAATAATTATATAACGTTGCAGTAAGTGACATGGTTCAAAGAATTTACAGTGTTGTTTAAAACAGACCACGAGGCATCATATTGACAAATATGAGAATGGCGACATAATCGAATCACGTGACGTCACTTCCGTGCCATGTGTTGGCGTAAAGGCATATTCATCTTTGTGGTGTATATAGTGCCCATGTAACGCAAATACAGATAAAAGCTGTCCATGTCCTGTTGATAATCAAGAAAGATATGTCTGAAGATGTAAAATCATTAGGATTTGTAGTTTTGAGTAGAAACCCACGACGGTGGTTGACCGTAATGTGAAATAAAAACAGAAAATAATAATCTCACGTGTAAGTGGGTGCTGGTATATGAAATCCCTAGATATGATTTTGGAATGTATGAAGATACCTCATACATTTTGACGGGTTATCATTTTTGTTTTACTTGTTTTAGTTCTTCGAGGTATGTTCTTTGTTGCGTTTTATTTCCTTAGAGGAGGGGTTCTTTTTTTGCCAAAAATCTGTTTCTTAAACAGAGAAGTTTACCGGTGTGTCTTATTTTGTGTCTTCAGAGGAAGAGGTACCAGCCACTTCTAATGCTTTCAAGTGTGGTATGTTGGCCCACCCGAAGTGTATTAACATCATAGGGACCTGGACTGTAGGGAGTTCCGGGGACTGTCTTCACGCAAATACCGGCTTCCGAATCGGTAGGAGGGGGTTCCGAAGGGCAGCGATGCAGGTAATTCATGTTAACATGCATGCCTAGATTTTTTTAGCTGACGTTTTAAATGAAAAACAAAATCTGTTACATTTTGGCAAAAATGTTAAAAGACAATGTGTGATGGACTAATTTAATATAAGAATGGCAATTAAAATGCCAAATCTTTCCTGTCCTTGAAAGCTGTTGTGCATTTGTCCTTTTATAAATATTTGAGTCAGTCAAGACTATTATTCTTATCTGTTTCCAGTACGATTTGTTTCAATATCGTGTCGTCATTTCGTTGTAGATTCACTGGAATAATCGGAGGCGACAAGATGGCCACTCGGACAGTTCCGGCATGGTTCTCTACTTCACGGACAGACGCCGAAAATACGACGCCGCCATGTTTGCCGTTGGGCAGGAATTCATCGAGATTCCACCACGCCAACCGGAAGTTGACTTTCATTCCTCTTGTTCTAGAGACTGTACGGGCGCCATGTTCCCCACCCCGATATACATCACCAGGGCGGTCAACCACATGCACTATATGGGTAGGTATTTTTTAAAGAAAAATTAAACATAAATGTTCTGATTTAACAACGTTTCGTAAGCTTTTTTAGTTTTATATTGTAAAATTATAAAATGCAAAAATAGCTAAGTTGTATTGGTGGGTTTTTTTGTCACTCAAAAACAAACAAAATATTCTTGTATTTCAAAACTTGTTACTTTTCAAGTTATTATTTTGATCCTTCATTTTGAACCAAAAAAGTATTTGTTTATTCAAATTTCATTATTGCATAGCTAGTCATGTTTCACATATCTAGTACTTATGCTTAAACTAGCCTTTTGAAGCCATACGTATATCATATATATATAAAAATAATATATTCGTAAACAAGACTGCTGCCTGTATTTATTATTCATGAAGTGTTTTTTTTAATTGTTTTTCTTTTACTTTAGGAGAATAGTATTGTAGTGAAGAGGGTTTTAACATTCCTCCTACCTACAAGAACTTACGTTTTGCCCAATGAATCTATTTGATTATATACATGTGCATTTCCAATAAGTGACGGTTACAAATTCGAATAAATCTTGAATATGTTTTCGGACACACATATATATATATACATTTGCATGGCATTGTCACTATATAGCCTCTTTGAAAGCTGTGTCGTTGATGGGACTTTAATTACCATGCAGCACGAGACACAATTCGTTGCGTATTAATACAACACTGACCGGAACTACAATATCCAATGTAAATAAACATGACGGCTGCTGAAATATCGCTGGGCATTGTGAGAATCGACAATGTCATTGTAAATTTATGTGCAAAAGATATTCTTTTAATAAAAAGCACTTTTATTGCAACCATATCGTACAAAATGCACATCGGTTGAAATTTTAACACTCATGCAATTGATCAGAAATATCGTCTGTTACACTGCACTGATCAACAGGGGTTCGTTATAAATGTCTGAAATACACACATTATATAGACCTACTGACACATATGTTACAAACCTACTGATATGTGTCACAGCACACATAAATGAAACCGAGGGGTATTTGGGGGTAAATAAACAACCCAAGCTCGACGTTTTAATAACGAACCAGTGGTTTTATTGAAGGTAAATCTTACCCTGCAACGATACAAACATACAATACTTTACTACACATACACATAACATATATACAGATATTACAGAAACGAGTACAATCTGACAATTAACACTTAGCTGTAAAATACGTACGTTTAACCGGGGATTATATAATAACAAATAAAGAATTGGAAATAGGGCATATACTATTTCCTTATCTATTAGTTACAATATGGATTACAATTTACCTTTACACATATATTATATTATAAGTGTATGGACTTTTGGCATTTACTGTTGACGTTACTCATAAATGGTGAAAACTATTCACGGACGTACACTATGACGGGACATTCAAAAGGATATATATATATTGGGATTCTTATGACTTATAATGAAATAATCACCTCTGTGTGGCAGAAGGCTTTACAATATGTCCAGCTCATGTATTAGTCTGTACACATATTCAAGTCTGGAAACATAAACGATACAAATAATAAGATATGGAATATAAACACAATCGTACCGGCCGGTGTAATGGCGGTCACTCAGGTAAACCCAGCGTACGCACACATACATGTTTTATTTAAAATAATATAAAATACCGTATAAATAATATCAGATACTGCTCGCGGGAAATACCGCACGCCGGACAGGAGAAAGGACAAATAGAAAAGATCGACAGGTTAGTTTGTAAATCGAGAAATCGAGTTTATACCTCACTTATATTCTTGTCAGTTGTCGTTGTCGTCGCTCTCTCGTCTACCTAGTCATACAAAGGTATCGCGCGCCAACCCAATAGCCAATCAGATAATAGATGTATACTGACGTCACACTACTGACCTCTATACCGGACATATTATTATACAACAATTATTATACAACATTAAACTAAATTTGATAAAATTCAATCCTGCCACATGCTCCTCCTGACCAAAGAATATCGTCCTCGATATGAACATAGAATACAATTCAATCCTACCTACATTTTTCCTATTATAAAATCCTGTTACATCCGTTTTACATCAATATCAATGTTTTCAAAATATGTACATGTCATTTTGTCGTCCCAGAAACTATCTGCAAAAGTGTCGTCTTCACACTGTCTTCCTGGCCATCAAACATGCCACTTGCAGCTAGTTCTCCTAGAAATCTGGCTCTTTCTTTCCAATCTGGTTCTTTGACTTGTTGGTGAGAAAATACAAATTCCCCTTCTCGCATCCACTGAGGTTTAACCCTCGTCCTTTGCGACTGACGAGTCACAACTGGTGGTGAAGAGGCGTGTGGATTTTCCTGATCAGGCGCTGCATCTTCATCCAGGGTGGAATCACTTCCTTGGGCGTCCCCATCCTTTTCCGACCCTGTTTCCGACACTTCTCTATCCCCTGAGGTATCTCCATCGGTGGCGCCGGCTGCGACATCTGTGGGATGGTCAACAGCCACTAAGAGTACCTCATCATCAAATGACGACGACGAACAGGAAGAACTGCTATCAGACGAATCGTCCTTAGCAGCCTTTCGTGAGCGTGTCCCTGGGGGTTTCGTCCGTCGGGGAGGTGATACAAGCTGATCAAACCCGGAAATGTAACTGATCGGAAGAAGTAGGTTCCGGTGTAAAGTTCGCACTTTTCCCTCGCCATTCTCCTTCTTCACTGTGTATGCTGGTACCTCAGCGTTGGGTTGTCCAGTCACAATGTAGGGTTCTTCCTCCCACTTGTTGGCCAACTTATGCCTGCCATCGAAGGCAACAACCTTCACCAGCACACGATCTCCGATAGCGATAGTAGTTCCTCGAACTTTAGTGTCATAGTTCTTTTTCTGTTTTGACTGGACCTTAGATATATTGGCTGAAGCTAGTTCATACGCTTTCTTCAAACGCTGTCGTAGATCTCCGACGTAGGCAGTCATAGATGTCTCCTTATGGCCGAAATCAAGCCCGAAAGCAAGATCCACAGGTAACCGCGGGTTCCTTCCGAACATCAAAAAATAAGGAGACTGGCCTGTTGACTCGTGTCGGGTGCAGTTATATGCATGGACAAGCGATGAAATGTGTGCCTTCCAATCCTTCTTCTGATCTTGTTCGAGCGTCCTGAGCATGCTGATCAAGGTACGGTTAAACCGTTCACAAAGTCCATTTCCCATGGGGTGGTAGGGCGTAGTGTGAGACTTCGCAACACCAGTAACCTTGCACAACTTAAGCAACTGGCTCTCGAAATTGGGTCCTCTGTCGGAATGAATCCTCTTGGGTAACCCATAGTGGACGACGAAATGATTGAAAAAGGTATCTGCTGTCGTCTTAGCAGTGGTATTCTTCGTGGGAATGGCCAAAGCGTATTTCGTGAAGTGGTCTGTGATCACGAGCACATCGTTGTATCCTCCCTTAGATGTTTCAAGACAAAGGAAATCCATACAGACAAGTTCCAATGGTTGGTATGAACTGATGTTTACAAGCGGAGCACAACTGTTGGTTGGAGATTTTCCTAGCACACAGCGTCGACAAACTTTAATCAGTCCTCCGTATCACGCATCATTCCAATCCAGAAAAACCTATCTTGAAGTAAGGATAATGTCTTGCCTCGTCCAAGGTGACCCATCTTGTCATGAACCAACGACAGCACTGTTGGAATCTGGGAACGAGGTAATAACAGCTGTTTCCTTTCCTCTCCTTCTACTGATCTGCATCTGTAGAGTACATCACCTTCCAGCTTCAGCTTCTCAAAATTACTTCTCAAAGCTGAATGAATCCTGGAAAATGGAATATCATCCTTCCGTGGTGTCTTCCCTTCCCTTACCCACAGTATCCAAAAGGAAAGATCTGGGTCATTCTGCTGCTCCTCAGCAACCATTTGGATGTCTGTCATGATCGGTTCATCTTCCAATGGTTGTAAAACATCGGCGGACATCGAAACACTCTCAACACATGGTGTTTGCACTCGAAAGTTGAGAGCCTTTATGACATCACTGGGAATAATTTGCTCTTCTGGCTTCTTCAATGAAGGGTGGCGTGACATCCCGTCAGCATCCGCGTTATGGCTACCTGGTCGATAGATGATGTCAAAGTCATACGCCGCAAGAGCCGCTACCCATCTCTGTGATGTGGCATCAAGTTTCGCCGATGATAAAACGTAAGTCAAAGGATTGTTGTCCGTCACTGCAGTAAACCTCTGGCCAAACAGGTAATCCTTAAACTTGTCCGTGACTGCCCATTTGAGCGCCAGGAACTCAAGTTTATGCGCAGGATATCGCTGTTCGGACTTGGACAATCCTCTACTGGCATAAGCGATTACTTTCTTCACACCGCTGTCTTCTTGGTAGAGCACAGCACCAAGTCCTAGTAGTGACGCATCTGTGTGAAGACAAAATGGTTGGTCGAAATCTGGATAACCGAGGACAGGAGGTTCTGTTAGACATTTCTTCAAATACTCAAATGCAGCTCCCTGCTCCTCTCCCCAGACCCATTGGCGACCTTCCGCTTTCACTTCTTTAGCTCCCGTCTTAGGTTTCCTGGTGGTAGGCATCAACATTGATAAAGGACGGGCAATGCGTGAGAAATCCTTAATGAATCGGCGATAATATCCCACGAATCCCAAGAACCGTCTTACGTTCTCCGGAGTCTGTGGGCGCGGTCAATTCACCACCTTCTCAATCTTTGCTGGGTCTGGTTCTATACCGTCCTCCGAAACAATGTGCCCAACATACTTAACCTTTCTCTTGAACAAGTTGCATTTCTGAGGAGAGAGCTTCATTCCATGATCCTTCAATCTCTGGAAAACTTTGTCCAAGCGTTCTAAATGCTCCTCATATGTCCGAGAGAAAACTATAATATCGTCGATATAGACGTAGCTTTATCCTGGTATGTAGATCAGACAGACACTCTTCCATGAGACGCTGGTACGTGGCAGGCGCGTTGGCAAGTCCAAACGGCATCCTGGTGTATTCATAAAACCCTAGCGGTCCCACGGTGAATGCTGTCCGTTCCTTATGCTGATCAAATAATTCCACTTAGTGGTAACCAGACTTCATATCCACCACGGAAAAGAATCTGTTCCCAGCTAAGGAATCCATGATCTCGTCAACTCTAGGAAGTACATACGCATTCTTTACTGTCCGTTGATTGAGTTGGCGGTAGTCTACACATAGTCGAGGAGACCCATCCTTCTTACGCACCAACACCACATTCGACGTCCATGGAGGCTCCATTGAAACCGAGGGGTATTTGAGGGTAAATAAACAACCCAAGCTCGACGTTTTAATAACGTCGAGCTTGGGTTGTTTATTACCCCCCAAAAAACATTCAGACATTTGTAATGAACCCCTGTGCTCCGTCGCATTCCTCAGTTTCTGATCACGACATGTCAAATAACGAGGCTGTTATAGAATCTACCGACTGTAGTCAGATTCCCATACAATCTTCACAAAATGAGTAAAGAGAAACTTCCAAAAATAACTCCCTCGTGGAGGTCAAGGTCGGATTCACGGTGTTCACTGTATTTATCCATGCGCGAAATTTGTTCCGGGGAAAAATCGGAACAATTTAAATCTAACTTTCAGCTCAGATTTCTATTGATAAACTTAAATCACCCTATAGACATATCATACGCAATTGTATTGATACTGAATTGTGGAATAAAATTGAAGTGTTTGTTAAAATGTCAAAGTACTACTTTGTTTGCCAATCAGCACGCGACAATACGCTGTTCAAATTATTGAACGAAATTGTGTGGACTGTCGATAAGGCGGGCATTTTTTATTTTAAGTATAAATCATAAGTTAAAAAAACATAAAAGGAAGAGAAAACGTAAATATAAGTATTGAACTGTTTTTGTATGGTTTTTATGATCTATTTGAATGACAAGCGCGCATTATGTTGTTTGCTTGCAAAGCTGTGTCATTCAAATAGATCATAAATACCATACAAAAACAGTTCAATGCTTAAATAATGCGTTGTCCCTATTGTGAATTCAGTTCCTCGCACAGTATAACTGCGAAAATTACTATCGGCGAAAACTTCACAATTTGCAGTATTACATTTTGTTCCTTTACTTTCAGGTATAAAACAGAGAATCACATTGCACAGGAATGGAACCAAGATCAGGGACATCACCTTTGATAATCCGTACAGATACGATAGCCCAGCATTCTACAAGTAGGCTGACTATCCGCTTTTTCACATGGTTAAACTAACCACGGACCCACATAAATTAAAAATTCCGTTTGTGAATTAACCAAATTCAAATTTCAAATATGCTTCGAAATGTCTCAAACTTTCAAATTATATATTTTTGCTAACACAGCCATTCTTTATTTTAAGAGATACTCTATTAAAAAAATGCATGAAACGCACACATTTCTAACAAGTCTTCGCAAAATCTAGCCAATAAAACGCATTTATTTCTAACAAATCTCTGCAAAATCGAGTCAATTTCTGTGCAAGTATGTATTGTTTTACTCTTTGTTTAACATAACAGGTACGACCCACCAATCGAGGTGCGTCCAGGGGATGAGATCCGAACTACTTGCACATATTCATCCATTGACAAACAAAGGACGGTTTATTTCGGCGACGGGACTACCGACGAGATGTGCTTCGGTTTTATGACTTATTATCCTAGACAAAATATCCCGATGCCATATTGTACGACTTGGAAAACAGTAGAAAAATGCAAGCGATATCTACCTCAGTTTGGCGGAGTTGTCAATGACTGTCCATGGAAAACATTTCTAAGTTCAAAAAATCCAGATACTAGACGCATTGTGGGAAATGTGTTAAGTCTATGCAGCAATATTAATGGATCACGTGACCGTCAATGTTCCGACAGATGTACGGAAACTGTCGAAGAAAGCCGAGAACATGTGTGTTTACAAGGGGATCTAGGAGAACTGCTTATGTATAAAATACGCATAAAATATCCAGAAGTTGTCAATTATCTTTCCAAGTGTAGACGAATGGAAGAAACTAACGGCAGCATAAATATAACGTCATGGTCCCCTTTATATGTTTTATTTATTATTGTTTCGTATCATTTGCATACCTGGTTTTAAAAGGCAATGGATTTCAATAAAAAAAATAACAGGGAAATACTAGTGTAAATGTTGACAAATTGGCGTAAATGAATGTAGTAAATGAGCAGGGGATATTTGGGGGCATTTTACAAAACTGAACGTTAAGTGTAAGGATATCACATATTTTAAATCTTACAATAAGACTTCATTTGCATAATTATGTGTCACTTTACCGCGTTTTATACTCTTGTCGTACATGTAAATCATATGTATATACGTACGTCTGTATATGGCATTTTATTGAAACCTGCCTTTACCGACACCTGACCTGAAAGTCATTCTGTAATATTTGACATTATTTCAAGCCCCCCGTAATTAACTAGATTTTTCCGTCTTGGACTTGGACTGATTTTACCCACACCTTGACATCCTGAATTTTGTAACATTATCTTTTACTGGCTTTTTCTGTTTTTTACCATGACATCAACAAAAATCAAACCAAAAGATTCGGTAAAGACATGTTTCATTAATTGTCAAAGCCAATGCGATGCTAGATACGCTATTTCATCGAAGTTGTACAGTTAATATACATTTTTTTCAATTGCAAAGGAAAGTCTGCATTTGATATTCTTACTAATTTGTAAATAACTAATACATATACCAACGACAGTGTTTAATAGTATATCTGTTTATATATAGCATTCAGCAGAACAAAATTTGCTTGAACCTATTTCCTTGTAGGTAAACTGTGTACATAACATACAGCTTTTTACGTTATTTCATAAATAACCATGTCTATGATACTTACCCCGCCCATACTCTCAAAATAATGGCAGGTGAAAAATGTACATACAATGCCGAATATAAAAACACACGAGGAAGCGTGGACCTGTAATGATACATGCATAGGCTCATGTATTGAACATGCAGTGTGGCATACCTCGCGCAACTTGTACATACCATAGACACCGTACTACACGAAAGTTAGTCATACCAACGACATGCAATACAGCAGTTATATATACAAATAGCAATGTTGTACAGTACTTTTATATAAAGTCATAGTTTTCTGTATAGATTTCATTGTGTTAACATTCTTGTTTGCATTAGATTTTTAAGTGTTAACATTATTTATTGTGCGTTTGTTATTTTCTGTTTTGTTTTTCTTTTAATCCGATCGAATGGAATTGGATGTTTATTTAGTTGTGAGGGAAAATATATCGTTTTATCATTTGTTCTGCTGTTTTTAGATTTTTTAATGTCCGTTTTGTTTTGACTGTGATCAGTTAGCTATTGTAAACAAGCTTGAATTAGATCGAAGTACAAACACAGTTTGGACGGCTTCGTTACCTGTGGTCCGTATTTCGATATACCGGACCTTCCACTATAAATGGAAGATCATTATCAGGAACTGAATGATAGTGATGTGTCAAATTTCTGTTTCAAGTATCCGGAATATTCCGTTTCCGTCACTACGTATTGATTGTAGAAATCTTATGCAAGGTTCTACTCGGCTCCGCTTACACATATAGACACCGGGGCCCGTATTCATGAAACCGTTCTCATGCTCAAGCATGGAATCTGTGCTCAAACCAACTTTCTGGTAACTCGCTTAGATCATCTCAAACGATCAAAAAGTCAAATGTAAACATTGAAAAAAGTATTTGGCTTTAAGTCTCTTCAAAATGTTTCCAAATCATTGACAAAGTAAGATTTATTCATTGAGTTATAACCAGAACAAGAAATTAGGATTGAGCACAAAATCCATGCTTGAGCATGAGAACGGCTTCATGAATACGGGCCCAGTAATTAGGTTTATTGACATGTTTACGCTTTTTATTTCATAACAGCGAAATACCTTTAAATGAAATATAGAAAAGTCTGTAGATTACTTAGCAAAATAATGACTGTACAATGATGTTATACTGCTTTTTTTTAAATCCATGTAAAATGGATGCTGCTCAAAAGTAATACAGAATTGGTCATACGTGTATCATTTTCAAAGCTACCGACCAATAAATAATTCAAATTACGAATAATATTTTTAAAACTGTTCAATAGTAAAAATTAAAAAAAAAAAACAGGCAGCAGTCGAAAAGTGATGGAATAAGTTTTATATTAATGTTGTTGTTATATCGACTATTGTAGGTGGGTTTTTTTCACTTTCTTGATTTTTTGGAGGGGGAGTGGAGATTTTATCCCGATGTACATATGGTCAAAATGTCTGACCAACCCCATAGTAGTGTGTAGTTAGTAGACATTCCATTAAATTACTTGTACTATATTTTAAAACTAGCTTTTTGTGTTGTATTGATGTACAAAGTTAGACTGAATATGCATACCATACATGTTGTATATAACAATGATATATTATTTGTAATGTAAAAGATTTCTACAGGATATTTTTGTTTGTTGTCTTTTTCTACCACACAGCCACATGAAATAAAGAATTCTGATGGACGACACCAAAACTAGCAAATAAAAAAAGTTAATATAAGGATATTTACAAAACAGATGTAATTTTTCAAACTTAACCAATCATAAAACGCCTAACGGTACCATTATTATCAAATGCGTACTTTACTAGACCAGTCGCATAACGTTGCTTCACCAAACAAATCAAATTACGTGTATTTTACCTAACCAATCACATAACGTGTATTTTACCAACCAATCACATTATGTGTATTTTACCAACCAATCACATAACGTGTATTTTAACAACCTATCACACAACGTGTATTTTACCAACCAATCACATAACGTGTATTTTAACAACCAATCACATAATGTGTATTTTTAACAACCAATCACATAATGTGTATTCTACCAACCAATGACACAACGTGTATTGTACAAACCAATCACACAACGTGTATTGTACCAACCTATCACACAACGTGTATTTTACCAACCAATCACACAACGTGTATTTTACCAACCAATCACACAACGTGTATTGTAACAACCAATCACACAACGTGTCTTGTACCAACCAATCACCTAACGTGTAATTTACCTAACCAATCACACAACGTGTATTGTACAAACCAATCCCATAACTTGTATTGTACCAACCAATCACACAACGGGTATTGTACCAACCAATCACACAACGTGTATGGTACCAACCAATCACACAATGTGTATTGTACCAACCAATCACACAACATGTATTGTACCGACCAATCACATAATGTGTATTGTACCAACCAATCACACCACGTGTATTGTACCAACCAATCACATAATGTGTATTGTAACAACCAATCACACAACGTGTATTGTACCAACCTATCACACAACGTGTATTTTACCAACCAATCGCATAACGTGTATTTTAACAACCTATCACACAACGTGTATTTTCCCAACCAATCACATAACGTGTATTTTAACAACCACTCACATAATGTGTATTTTACCAACCAATGACAAAACGTGTATTTTAACAACTAATGACACAACGTGTATTGTACAAACCAATCACACAACGTGTATTTTACCAACCAATCCCACAACGTGTATTTTACCAACCAATCACATAAAGTGTATTTTAACAACCTATCACACAACGTGTATTTTCCCAACCAATCACATAACGTGTATTTTAACAACCACTCACATAATGTGTATTTTACCAACCAATGACAAAACGTGTATTTTAACAACTAATGACACAACGTGTATTGTACAAACCAATCACACAACGTGTATTTTACCAACCAATCCCACAACGTGTATTTTACCAACCAATCACACAACGTGTATTGTAACAACCAATCACACAACGTGTATTGTACCAACCAATCACCTAACGTGTAATTTACCTAACCAATCACACAACGTGTATTGTACCAACCAATCACACAACGTGTAATTTACCAACCAATGACATAATGTGTAGTTTACCACCCAATCACATAACGTGTATTTTAACAACCAATCACATAATGTGTATTTTAACAACCAATGTCAATACGTGTATTTTACCAACTAATCAAATAACGTTTATTTTACCTAACCAATCACATAATGTGTATTTTAACAACCAATCACAAAATGTGTATTGTATCAACCAATCACACAACATGTATTTTAACAACCAATCACATAACGTGTATTGTACCAACCAATCACACAGCGTGTATTTTTAACAACCAATCACATAATGTGTATTTTTAACAACCAATCACATAATGTGTATTTTACCAACCAATGACAAAACGTGTATTTTAACAACTAATGACACAACGTGTATTGTACCAACCAATGACACAACGTGTATTGTACCAACCAATCACACAACTTGTATTGTACCAACCTATCACACAACGTGTAATTTAACTAACCAATCACATAATGTGTATTGTACCAACCAATCACATAACGTGTATTGTACCAACCAATCACACAACGTGTATTTTCACAACCAATCACACAACGTGTATTGTACCAACCAATCAAACAACGTGTATTGTACCAACCAAACACACAACGTGTATTGTACCAACCAATCACACACCGTGTATTGCACCAACCAATCACACAACGTGTATTTTACCAACCAATCACATAATGTGTATTGTACCAACCAATCATTATATGTGTATTGTAACAACCAATCACACAACGTGTATTGTACCAACCAATCCCACAACGTGTATTGTACCAACCAATCACACAACGTGTATTGTAACAACCAATCACACAACGTGTATTGTACCAAACAATCACACAGCGTGTATTTTACCAACCAATCACATAACGTGTATTGTACCAACCAATCACACAACGTGCATTGTAACAACCAATCACACACCGTGTATTATAACGTGTATTTTAACAACCAATCACATAATGTGTATTTTACCAACCAATGACAAAACGTGTATTTTAACAACTAATGGCACAACGTGTATTGTACCAACCAATGACACAACGTGTATTGTACCAACCAATCACACACCGTGTATTGTATCAACCAATCACACAACGTGTATTGTACCAACCAATCGCACAACGTGTATTGTACCAACCAATCACCTAACGTGTAATTTACCTA